TACAAAATCGACTGTTATTTCGTGAATGAGGTTATTTTTTATGGGTGATCAGGGTTTTTAGGATATGTAATTAAGATTTGTGCAATTTAACTGTCAGGTAGTTGATAGTAAGTAGTTACGGATACGTTACGATAATTAATTACAACTGAGGTTGCAATTATGCAGTGTATGCAAGGGCATAGTTGGCTCTTTAAGTCAACTACCGCTCACGGTTACTGATCGCGCTCAGTTACGACGACCGTACGCATAAATCGCAAAAAGGAAAAGCAACCAAAAATTATTTTCTTATGTCTCTCACTAATCGCGTACTCCATTTCTTCATATTTATTAATCCTTTACACTCGATAAGTAAAATATTTTTAAGATGACAAAGCAACACAAGATTACATCTAATAAAATATTAACTAATCAACCGTATCGAAAATTCTTTACATGTCGAGTAGTTAACCAGTTAATGGGTTAATTGTGCTTGTGCTCAATAAATACATTCTGAAGAATGTCAAATGCGAAAGCATTCCATGACGCGACAGAAGGTCACAAGAAATTTTCTCGAAGGAATGTAATCGCGAATGGCTAGAAATCTAAATATTCGACATAAATAATGTTTTCCACTCGATCATTGAATAGAAAGTATCGAAAAGAAGTCGCACGGTATTTAAAAGTCCCTGATGCAATAAAAAGGAGAACGTTATATCGGAATTCTCGAAACGCGTAGCTAAAATGGGAATTTCATGGTTAGCCTGTTTTTCCCGGTATAAACTGCACCGTGAATGTTTATTGAAATCTAACTTTCGCGTGTCTGCGTTCTTTCCGATCGATCTATCGAGAGATTCTCGTGGCTTTCTCAGGCGTAAAAGTTTTACACTCGTTGAACAAGCAAATTCGATACATTTCTGACGGAATAATGCTGTAAATTCTGAGATTTAATTATTATTTACATGCGATTGAAGATGATGTAAATAGAAGTAAAAAACAATTTTAACTGCAACAATTTAAAAAGCAAATTTAATAAATAAATGAGAGTACGGTACCTAATCCTATTTAATAAAGAAATTAATAAATAGTAAACGGAACAGTAAACTAGATTTAAATAATAGTTACATTTATTTTATGAAACGATTATCTTTTTACTCAATACAAATTCTGTCTATTTAGAAGATAATTAAGTTACATTACTTTTCATTGATGTTAAGTTATATTGTTATGCATTGAAGTAGAACAACATTATGTTGCATTGAAGTTGAGATATATAATCTTGAATTGAGGTTATGTTACATTACTCCATATTGAAATTAAGTTACATTATCTTGTATTAAGGTTAAGTTACATTATTTAATAATGAAGCTGAGTTACATTTTTTAAAATTAATATTAAGTTACATTATTTTGCATTCAATATTAAAAAACATTATTTTACATTGATGTTGAATTATATAATCTTGAATTGAGGTTAAGTTACATTACTCCATATTGAAATTGAGTTACATTATCTTGTGTTGAAGCTGAGTTATATTATTTAATAGTGAAGCTGAGTTACATTTTTTTAATTGATATTAAGTTACATTATTTTGCATTGAATATTAAAAAATATTATTTTACATTGATGTTGAGTTACATATATATAGTTAGATAAACTATCTATTTAGAAGATTACGTTATGAAGATTCTTTGAGCAGTTTAATAGCTCAACCTCTGTTTGTGAGAAGCATGTGTCTTTTTCACAGGCAATCAGGCCTTGAGCTTCGATTATGGCTACTGTGTTCAATCACGAACCGATAACTCTGGATTTCATATTCTAAAAGTAACAACGACTGTTCGCAGTTTCCCACGCAATATCAGTATGCAAAGGAATCACTCGTGTGATAAGAGCAATAATCAGTGACATCTACTGATATTAACGTGCATCGATTACTTTCACAATTATTTAACTGGTTGACTGAGAAGGTTGGAAATTGTATTATTTTTTAACAAATCTTACAAAATATTTTTAGAACATTCTGTTCTATGTACTATTCACAGATTTAAATAGTTGATACGAATTTGTGGTTGGAACAAGTAATGTTCAATGTGTGGGCAAATTATTAATACTTAATTATTATTAAGTGTCATAATGTGTGACATGTTAAAGTACTCCTCAGTTAAATTAATCGATCGACTTATTTTACTTGAATCGTTACTACTTTCATTCCACTAGCATGTGATGCGTTTTATAAAAGTTGATTGCACTTATAATGTGCTGTTTGCAAAGGGTGAGAAAAGAAATGAAAGCAATCGTTCCAGGTTGATCGAATTCGAGTGCAAATCATCAATGATGCTACCTGATTTGCATGTCACGGTCTACGATTTGATCGACTCTATCGAATCGACTCCAAACGAAGGCTCTGTGTAATATTGCCTTCTATGAATTTCATTTGCATCGATATCGTTCATCATTATACAGTTCGATGTCTTTCAAACATGAAACCCACTCCATAAATTTTACACTCGATGATTTTTTTGTCTGTTAATTTATACTTTTGTGGAGACTTTAATTCGTACTTTTTAATCATTTTTATTTTTACTTTGCTTTTTGCTTCAGTTTATACTTTAGTGAGGATTTTAATTTGTACCTTCGAATAATTTTATTATACAAATTTATTTTGTATCTGGAGATTTCAATTTGTATTTTTGAGTAAATTTCAATTTATACTTCTGTATAAATTTATACTTTTTGTATAAATTGTGTAGTGATAGATTTTCACTGAATATTTTCACACAAGCTTAAACATAATTGCGATACAATTATAAAGTAAAAATATTTATTTCTAGAAATATGAAATGTAGATACTGAGTAACATAGGTGTTCTAATTGTCAACGTTTAGAAATATGAAAAAAGGAAAAGGGGTCAGCAATCGATTAATTGTAATACCTTCCAAGCTGATCTTCCTATTGGTTTCTATAGCAATGTTCGAGTATTATCAGCTGATTAGCTAATGTAACAGATGGTCGTGGTTTTATTAGATTATCGTCCACCTATTTTCTACCACACAATCCGTGACACTGTTGAGCGACGATTCGAGACTGAAAATTTCTACAAAAGTGAAAAGAGTGATTCTTTAGAAATCTTCAACACCTTCGGTGTGATGAGTGAGGTCTACAAAAGTGAAAAGAGTGATTCTTTAGAAATCTTCAACACCTTCGGGGTGATGAGTGAGGTAAGAAACAATTGTTTCAATATTTAATTAATAAAAACGTATGTATAATATATTCTTCCATACATACATATATTAATATATATCTGCAAAAAGTTGTTATATTTCTTCATTCTTAACTTATAAAAATTTATTGTATTTGTCTTTTCAATATGAGAAATTACGATACATAAAATATTAAATATAATATAAACTAGGAAGGATAATAGTGTATTTGGGGAAGTAACAAAAATGAAGGGGCAGACTGTAGAATGATATCCCGCACGACACTGCTGTGAACATGGTTGTCGTCACAAGGCGTAGGATGCGTTCAAGTGCATAACTAGGACTTTTATTTGGAATAGGAAAAATATTTGGGAAATTAGAAATTTGGGATTTAGAAATTTAGAGAATGAGGAATTCCAAGCTTAATGAATTCGAAATTTAGAAGTTTGGGTTTTGAGAATTTGGAAACTTAAAGATTTGGGGTTTTAGGAAAATGGAGTTTGTGGAATTTAGGAACATATGAATTTCGGGATACAGTAATTTAGAAAGTTAACATTTTTGAAATTTAAGAATTGTAGAACTTAGAATGTTAGAAAGTTTGGAAATTCAAGAGTTTAAAAATTTGTGATGAGGACTAGGAAATTTAAAAATTCAGAATTTCGTCGATACAAAATTTTGGTGAATTAAGAACTCAAAGATCCATAACTTTCAGTCTTGAAGACATAAATATTCAAAAATTAAAAAACTTCATTAAAAATTATCTAATTATCTACCCCTAAAATATCATCCCGAAAACCGAAATATCACTAATTACAAAATTCAGTAAAACCATTTCCTCCATCATCAATTTAATACTACCCCATAACAGCAAAAACACCCTTCATTAACACTAATCCACAATTCTACATCCACACCACATAATCCCACCGAATACACTCTATCGGTCAGAAAGTATAAAAATTAATTAGCAACGTACCGAGAAACCCTAACAACGAGAATTTTAATAACACACCGCAAAATATCCTGTTCGTTTTCCTGTACGAGCTCCATAAAGAGGTGTAATCGCCCTAAAAACCTCTAATCTGCTAAACTAGACGACTACATCGCCACGGCACGCGTTTCTAGTGCATACACAGAGAATGGTGGGGAGAAGTTTAGGTGCCCCTGTGTGTCGTGATTATGGGGTGAACTGTTGGTACGGTGCCCCATAGAAGGCGGCCCGCCCTTATGGAGGGGGCAAAATACCCCCGGGACGGTATATATTCTCTAAGAGCCCCATGCCACTTTCGCAGTACCAAATTGTACCCCGTCGTCGAATGGTCGTCGTTTCTTATTTCGTTTTTATTCGCTGCCGATCGGCCATTCCGTTATGTCGTGACACGATTTTTCGATAATCGAAGTCATAATTCGAGTGAAGTGTTTCAACGAGGATTAATTTCTTTTTCAATTGAATCAGTCATTAGGTAAGATTTTGTTGAAGATTTCTGGTTGAGAAGATCGAGAAGTTCAAATCTTGAACTTTGTTAAATTTTGGAAAAAATATTGGGGGAGGTATTTGCACTTCTGTGATGCTTTCGATAATTTTTTTAATATAACGCAAACGAAGGATCTTCCGCATTTAGTGGTTTCAGTTTTCACATTTCACGGTTTCAGTTTTATATTTGTATAAAAATTTGATGTTAGAATTCGGGTACTCCAACTGTATTTAGAGTGGAGGGTTGTCCTTCATGGAAATGAGAAATGGATAGAGTTAGTATATGGGATGATTCAGTTATTTGGGATTTATAACCTTAGTCTTGCGTTTCTTTTCAGGAAGTGTTCAGCATGTCCTCGGAATATTCTTTCTGCGGCGAAGGGGGTTTCGACGAGCTCTCGAGCTCTTCCGATTCCGGTTTCGACGTCAGTTTCGAGTCACCTAAACACGAAATCCCATCGGATAATCTATTTCCACCGATGAAAGAAGAGAAACGCAAGAAACCTCGAAATACGAGGTGCAAAAGTCCTACACAGGTAACTTAAACACTCCGATTCCATTACAAAGTTCCTTAAAATCCACCATACAAGACAACTTCACTACATCTCAAAATCCATAATATAAAACACTTTATCTATGCCTAAAAATCCACGATATAAAATTACTCAGAGGAACAATCTGTGAAACACGACAGAAATCAAAATCGTTTCTTCAGCAAGACATAAGCATTTTTTTATTTTAATATGTCTGAACAAGTTTACATTTTAGGGGATGATTTTTCGGAGTTAGAAAGAAATCGTCTCATGTAATATTTTAATTACTTTAAACTTGTAGTTATTAAATACATTAAAAAATTCTCAATAACGTATGTAAAATTTATACGTGAACATTAGTGGTTGAATTAAAAATAATTGAACTTGTGCATATACGTGCCTGTATCTTGAATGAGTCTTTCTTGTCTGTATCTTGTGTTTAAACAGAACCGATTGATTTTGTTTGAAAGAAATAGTATAATATGAATTCACATTTCTGTACAATTATTTCAGATTATAATACAGTCCATTATCTTCATAACAAAAATAATATTATTTTATTGTTAAATTGTTCACAAATACCATGATGTTAAAATTGTTCAAAGATATACAGATATTGTTATAATCCTTAAAGGATACGTAGATGTTGTAAAAACTGTTAAAGATATGGGGTGTTGACAGTACCGCACCCTAGTTGAATTGTTCATAAAAAGAAATCATTTTAAAAATTTATTCTAGTACAACACGACATTAAATATATTTTGAAATATGTTTTTCAATGAGTAGAAATTGTCAAAATTATTCAAGAATACATATTGTCATAATTATTAAAAGACATAGATCTACAATCTGTTAGAGATACATCACCCCATATCAAACCCCCAAATTGAATTCTCCATAAAATAAAATCATTCTCAGAATAAAAAATAAAATTCACTCCAACACAACCACCCCATCTAATACACTTCAAAAGCACTACCAAACCATTAAATAATTACTCGATCCAAAAAATAGACGCTATATCTTTTGAAGGAAGCGTGATTCTCCCTCTTCGTGTCTCGTTTCTCCCATAAAAAAAGAAAATAAAAAAAATAAGAAAGCTTGAAATCCAGACTCGATTGATCCGCAGGTGCTGAGGCTGAAAAGGACCCGTCGAATAAAGGCGAACGATCGCGAGCGGCACAGGATGCATACACTGAACGACGCGCTGGAACGTCTTCGGATGGCATTGCCCACATTTCCGGAGGACACGAAGCTGACGAAAATCGAGACCCTCCGTTTCGCCCACAATTACATCTGGGCGTTGTCTCAGACTCTGGGAAACTCCGAAGCGGGCGAGATCACGGTGAACGTGGGCAACGTGACGGTGAGCATCAGCGAGAACGGAAATATGATCACCTCTTCGACCGGAAGTTGTGCGGTGGCCGCACAGAAACGACTAGGACCGTCGCACGCGAACTTTCCCTATCCCCAAGAACGATTCGTACCCGAATGGCAGGAGTACGATTGCTATAGCGATCAAAGTGTCAGCCCACCGATGCAGTATCAACCGTGTTTCGATCAGAGGATGTATCACGCGCAGCATCAGATCCCGCCGCATCATATGGGACCCAATAACATATACCAGTGTCTTTAGAAAGAGGACGTGAATTGTGGACACTGTGATGGGTGAATTTTCTAAGGTTTTCGGTTGTGGTCGTAGGTGGAGCTGTAGATATTTTAGTGAGATGGTATATGACGGTACATGGCATTTTTAAGGGATGATTGCAGATTTTCGATTTTTTAGATGTTCGAATAGTCAGTTTAGAGTTCGGAAGTAGGTTTTCTGTTTTGGGTAGTTGGTTTAAGAAGATGGGGATTTTTAGAGTTGGATAGTTTTAGGTTTTGGAAGTTTGGAATTTTGAGATTTGGAAATTATTAAACTTGAGAATTCCTAAATTCATGAATTTCCAAATTTTCAAGTTTCCAAGGTTCTAAATTACCGAGGTTCCAAATTTCCAAGGTTCCAAATTCCCAAGGTTCCAAATTACCAAGGTTCCAAATTTCCAAGGTTCCAAATTTCCAAGGTTCCAAATTTCCAAGGTTCCAAATTCCCAAGGTTCCAAATTCTCAAGGTTTCAAATTTCCATGGTTTCAAATTCCCAAGATTCCAAATTTCCAAAGTTCCAAATTTCCCAGTTTCCAAATTCGCAAGGTTCCAAATTCTCAAGGTTCCAAATTTCCAAGGTTCCAAATTTCCAAAGTTCCAAATTTCCCAGTTTCCAAATTCCCAACGTTCCAAATTCCCAAGGTTCCAAATTCTCAAGGTTCCAAATTTCCAAGGTTCCAAATGCCCCAAGGTTCCAAATACCCGAACGTTCCAAATTTCCAAGGTTCCAAATTTCCAATGGTCCAAATTCTCAAGGTTCCAAATACCCTATTTTCAAATTTCCAAGATTTCAAATTTCCAAATATCCTAATTCCCAAATCCCAAGATTTCAAAATTCCAAAATTCTCAAGTTCCCAATTTTCCAAACCCCCAAACCCCAAATCCCCAAATCCTAACTTTTCTAAATCCTAACTTGCAAACCGAATATCTTAAAAAATGAGAATATCTAAAAACTTGAAAATCTGAATAAGTTTGCACCAAGTCTGCAAATATGTCTAAACCTGCGACCACTACCTGAACATAACAATAATACAATAACGAAGAGCGAGAAGACAGTACAAACTTCGGTAAGAATGAAGCACGAGAATAACAGAAGGGATGTGTACTATAAAAGAATTTTGTGGATAGATTTGCAGATTTCGAAGTTTCGTGAGGGATCAAAATTCTCGTGAAATATGTATAGTAACACAGTGCGCTATGAGTCATCGCCGCCATTGTATCGTTCTAACGAGGCACGGTATTCTGGACTTGTCGAAAAACAGCGATGATCTTGATATGATCGCGTGTGGGAATATTGATACACGCATAAATAATTAAACAGTGATATAGGATATGATCTCTATAACTTAAGATAATTACATATATTTTTGCCGAGAAGTATTTTAGAGAATCAATCATTCTTAACTGCAGGTGGTATACCGAAACTTCGAATTCCATAGTTATCATAACTTATAAACCAGTGATCAGAAGCCAAAGAATTTACCTGTTATTTTACCACTTTAGACTGTGGATGTTGGATGTGTAAACTATACTTAACATATAAGATATATAGAAAATATTTAGAACGACACAATTTATTCTTAATATTGTAAAATCTGTAAATTGCGATACTATAAAAGATGAAAAGGAAAGAAATTGAGAAATTAACCAGAAAAAAATTATTTGATGAAAATATGTATTTGCATAAACATCCACTGTCTATCGCATAATCGAGTCCACAGTATATTGATCTTTCTCCAACGCACCCTTGACATGTCAAACAAACGTACTATTTGCTAGGAGTTATATGTAAATTGTGTCTGGATCACAAAATCTCGTACGAAAATGAAGAATCGAAATGTATCGGTTCGTGTGTAATTCGCATAATTGTACAAAGAGTTAGGGTAACATACGAAATGATCGTTATTTACTTTGTAAGAGAGCATTCTATTTGCAACGAATTACTAGGATTAAGGTTAACGTTAGATCGGCTAGGGTTTTCATTTGAATTTTCACGGTCTCTTTTCTTTACAAGTCAGATTTGCCGAGGAGTCACGATTTTATACAATTAAAGAAAGTCGCGTTCCTTTTTTTTTCTAGTCATCGATAAGTTGATCTCGAACGCTTGATCTCACCCTTTGTTTCTAGAATATTTTATTATTTAAGCTTACCTCTCCGTCAGTGCTCTTAACGGATCGTGGAATCACCGATTCAGGGATTTATATATTGTACAGAATTTATACCTTATCAATAAAGCATATTTTACCTAATTACATGCCTGTTATTTATTTTTATTTACAAACGTTTTAACCCTTAATATATGATTTGTGGATTATCAATATTTTCTGTGTCATAAATTTTTCGGTATTTAAGGTTTTTTGAGGGAAAATTATTGAACTTGCAAATGTATAAAATTTTCAAATTTTTTAATCTTCAAATCTTCAAATCTTGAAAATCCTCAAATCTTGAAAATCTTCAAATCTTGAAAATCTTCAAATCTTGAAAATCCTCAAATCTTCAAAATCTTCAAAATCTTCAAAATCTTCAAATCTGCAAAATCCTCAAACCTTGAAAATCCTCAAATTTTCAAAATCCTTAAAATCCTTAAAATCCTTAAAATTCTTAAAATCCTTAAAATCCTCAAATCTTCAAATCATCAAAATAAAAACCTTGATCTACCAAATCCAGTGCGATGAAAACTCGAAAAATTGAATTTCGACCACGAAATCCAATAAAAAAATCATGCAATTTTCGTGTAACGAGTAAAGGATAAAGTATACAACAGGAAAGACGTATATTTCAACAACAGGATTGGCAGGAAAATATTATTTTTCGATTCTGAATTCAAAGCTCTGATATTTTGATAGCTTCCGCCCCGTTCGCTCCTTCGATTGATCGAACGGTACTGTTCACCTATTTATTTTTCTAACACTTACCTACAGTGTCACTTGAATGGAACACCCACTTGTTCTTGTTATGGAAATTGTAGTGTATAGTGCTACTTGCTGATCGATCGATCATGAAATTTTCATCGACTGCGAATAATAATTGAAAATGCATCTGATTGTTAGGTTATGTGTAGGTTAAGCATATTTTTTAATTTATATATTACTTATTACTTTTCCATATTTGAAATTTTCGAGGAAAATTTAAATATTTAAAATTTAGAAATTTTTAAGAATTAAATATTTGAAATTTTGGAATTTTGAAAATTCAAAGACTCACAATTTTGCAATCTTGAAAACTTGAATTTTTGAAATTTAAAAAATTGGTAAACAAAAATTTTTAAATGTGGAGATGTGGAAACTTGTGAAGTCCAATTTTATGTTCACACATGTCCTTTTATGTAAAGAAAATCTGGATTTTAGAATCGATTTACAGTTCCAGAGTCACGTTCCTTGCGGATTAGGTGGGTAGGCGTAATTTCAACGCGATTTACCGATACATCTGCCCCGCGGTGATTTCTACAAAGGACACGTGTCCTGGCACGTGTTCGTTCATTCTTGAACAGGACTCCATTCCTGCAAAGTGGCTCAAGCATGCTCGTTTGTGAAATAGTAACTGTCTGATCGTTGGACGTGTTTGCGTATTCGTTTACCCTCTTTCGACGACTTTGTTACCGATCGGAAACGTGGCTTATCTATGATCGTCCGGGTAGCTTGTCAAGATTCTATTAGTATTCTTACAAATTGTGATGAAATTAGTCGATGTAGGTAGCAAATAGATAGGTAGTTTATTTCACTACTTTATGAAGGAGAATAATAAACGAGTGTTTGCACTACGTGGTTGTACATAATTTATTAAATGTTGCATGTTTTTGAGCAGATGCACGTTTCATGGGTTTTGACAAATTATGTTATGTTGAAAATTAGGCCGAGAAAATTTATGAGCAAGTTATACATTTTTTTAAATAGAAAGATTGATAAGCACTAAAATTATTGAAACGGTAATTTAACTGGTTCACAAGTTTCTCATTTTAAATTACAAAAGCTAAGATATTTTTATACTTGAAATCTATGTTAACAAGACCGTTAGTGTATACATATATACACTGTTACACATGTATATTATACATTATTGTATAAATTATATTGTATTAATTATATTATTATAATTAATATTATACAATCGACGTCTCCATCAATTAATGTCTCAATCAATTATTTGAAGAAATACCGAATACAAATTTTTTGGAAATATGTAGATACAATTCCCAGTTCGCAACATAGTAAATAAGATGTTCTTGCTGCAACAAGACCTTCAACCGGTTGATCAATAATTTCGTATACAAGGCCTATTTGCAAACAAGCTGCAAGCTGCGACGAATCCGTTAGCACGCTCGATCGTTTCCCCAAATCTCGCCAATAATGGTAATGCTTCAATAGAACCATTATGTCGGCGATATATAACTGTGTGCACAGTAACGACAGACGGCCAGTATCCGTAAAGGTGTTGGATTTTGGGGGGATTCAATCAGTTTTTGCAGTAACTGCTTTAGGGCTGCGAAAACAAGAAATTGGAAAACTCGCTTGATTTATTTTCCTCAGATATTTACTAATACGCTTCAAACTTTATGCTCAATTATAATTTGTATACTCAAGCATTTTATGCTTAATTTGCGTACTTAAGCATAGTCTACTTCTTTATTTGTTTTAATATTGCAAATAGTCAACTCTGACTGATTCGATAAATCACATTTATGTTTAAAATATTTAATTTCATACTCCTTTTTATTTTTCACATCATTATTATGTTGCATACTATTTTATTTTTTTACCTGTTAAATTGTTACCTTTCATTGTCAGTAACAATTATTAACAACCACACTTTCCAGAAAACAATATTTAATTAAATCTTGCAGCAAATCTCTCTGTACCCACATCTCAAAATTCTATATACATCACACATCAAATTTTTACTTCAAATCAAACTATTCGCCCAAATAGAATCTACTAAGCTCAAAAAAATAATCGTTAACGAAAGTAAAAAAGTATAAGACTGCAAAGAAAATGGCGTTCCGAACAATAAATCGAGGAACAATGCCAGAAAACCAGACACGTCTCGATTTAAACAATGATCGAACAAGGAATTTTTTACAGGCCATAAAC